ATTAATTTGGAATATGATTTTTTGCATCTTCTTGTAAACGAACGAATAAAAGATGTTTGTTTCGATGTTAGGTGGAGGGGTTTATATTCACGACAACATTCTATCATGAGGTGCCTTTGAAGATTCACGCGATAATATTTGAATTTAACATAATTAGGATTTCTTTTATAAAGAAAGAGCTCGCTCATATCGCTCATGCAAAAGAAATCGTCTTTTCAACACCAAATTAAGGACCATTTAAATACTTTTCATCAACCATTAATTTCATTGAAATAAAAATAAAAATTATTATTATATTGTTGTTTATATTATTATTCATTGAAATGATCAAAAATGGATTAATACGTGAATATTAAATTTAATCAAACAATTTTCTTGTGTTTAAAGTATAAATAAAGTAAGCAAGTACCATCTGGCTTGAAGTTTGTACAAGGAAATTCTTTATTTCTTTATTTCTTCGGAAGTAAAGAAGATAATCTCTTTTATATAAATATATTGCAAATACCGAATTTGGTCCATTTCATTTCTATTGATTATTCAATTAAGAAATTTTATAATTTCAATAATTAAATTTGTGCTCTTTATTTTAATAGATGTAAATAATCTAAATTACGTACAAATACAGTACAAAATTAATTGATCATCCACATTTGTAAGCTCAATTTTGGTAAATCTATTTATCAATTGAATAGTTTAGAAAGTTACGGTCAAACTGCAAAATTTCAATTAATAATTTCCAGGCTCTTTATGAATTTTTTGAGGATTTGATGTAATTTTTCAAAACCCGATTTACATTTGTGTTTTAAAGGGGTTCAATTACAAAGAGGTATGTAGTATTATTTTATATTTTTGTTTAGTAGTAATTCGTTTTAATTAATTTTAAATTAACTAACCATTTTTGGAAATAAAGGGTTTCCATTTGTTTGAGATTTTCTGATCACAATATCAAATTATTTTTGTATGTGAAATTAATCAAGTATTTAACGAGATGATCCTTTTGAAAATTTACTCGAATGAAAGATTTTCTTCATCAAAACCTATCAGGAAAAGAGTCATAATTTCGCAATATAGCATCCGATATAATTAAAATATATTCATGTTATAAAAAGGTATCCCTCGTCACTCTTTTCGTTCTAAAAGCACGAATAGCAAACGTAAAACTAAGCAAAATAATACAAGTAAGTATAATATTTTTACTTTGTACATTATAAAATATATTTTCATAAATTATTTTTTAGGTCATACTAAAAAGACGGCATCCCACCAAAGCAGAGATTTTTATCAAAGAATAGTGAAGATAACCTATTGGCTTAGTAAGTTAGTTTAGTAGAAGATCACCCTATTTGTTTGAATTTAAAACGTGCAAGATCATTGGAAATTGTTGAAGAGCATTTATAACATTTGATGGAAGAAGTACTGTCAACAAATATCCGTTTTTTTATGGAATTTCCGAGATAAAACTTTATTCGTTTGACTTTGTTCATATGCAATTACCTGTATTTTGTTTGTCAGAATCGGACTGGGAAATAGCAATTAAAGAAATAGTAAGCCAAATGGATGGATTGAAAGACTTGAAGCCGACGTTAAATTCGAAAATGCTCTTAAAGATAAGGCAGAGCTCAATAATAAAGGTTAGCAACTTAGATTCACTAATTTTAATCTTCCAAAAAAAAAAAATGATTTAAATTAATTAATTTATTTTAATTTTAAAGCAAAGAAAAATTTATCCGAAAAATATAGTATTTCCAAGTCCATTAATAAGAACTTTATTAAAAATTAATAATTTCACTAAATATAATTTATTTCGAAGAAATAAATGCAGATTTGCCAGAAATTGACATTTCAAGGATTATTTCGAAGATTCGGATTTGGCATGTAAATTCGAAGAAAAGATTGGTAAAACAATTAGGAACAATAATACATTTAAAAAATATAAATTGACAATGGTATTGTGCATATGAATTATGATATTATTAATCTTATATTTTATGGGATCGATTTTTGGATTCGTTAAATTACAAATATTTAATAATTTTAATAATTATTGTATTAAATCTCTCGTAACTTGATTTTAATAGCAAACCTCTCATTTATATCATAAAGAATTTAATAATGAAAAAATCGTTTGTGATCACGTGAAATACAGGAGATTTCTTTTGAAATATTTGAAATATACAAGTTTTATTATAATTAAGTTCGTTTTATACACATTTTTACAAATACTAAATTATAAAATACAGTAATCGTTATTTGATTTTTATAAATCTAATAGCTTTAAATTGGACGATTTACTAGTTTTACTGTCTATATTTGATTTATTTGATTTTTCCCAAATCCAAACATTCTTATTAGATGTTTTACTGCCTTCCTTTTTATATATTATCCCATATTGTAATTGTACTTTGTTTAATAATTCTTCAACTTTTTCAAAAGGAAAAGTGTCTCCAAACTGTTTCTTGGGCGGTAACAAAGTAATTTCTATTGATGATGAATTGGTTGAATGAACATCACTATCATCACTATTAGAAGGGGGCAATGATTTTTTAAGGTCATCTTGAACATTTTTTGCTAAAACCTTTAAAGAACTTTTCCAATAATAATAATCGTTTTTTAAACATTCAATTAAATCTTTAAAACTTTCATCATAAATTTCGTTAACAAATTTCATTTCAAGATATGTTTTTTCGTATATCTTCACCTTGTTTATGTAACCTAAACTAGTTCGTTTTTCTAATAAATTTAATAATAAAGACCAAATATTGTATTCTTGTTCCGACCAATTATCTGTTTTAGTTGGAAATAGGAAATCTTCTAAAAGTATTGAATGGGGTACTAAGTCAATGTACTTTGTGTAAAGAATTATATTAAGAAATTTTGCGAAAAGAGCAGAACGTTGCTTGCGTGATTTTGTCCAATTGTATGAATTCGTTGAAGAAACTTTTCCTCCCATTTTATGATGCCAAATGTGAAAAAAAAAAAGATTTTTATATTATTGTTTGTATGAGATTTTGTATTTGAACTTTTTTATTTTTCGTGTAAGAGTTTTTTTTTTTGTGGTTTCTTTTCTGAGTATTGTGCGAGTTTCTTTTTGAGTTGTGTGCTTTTTTTTTTTTTTGACGTTAATACCAGTACTAACGAGATTTTTTAAAAATTCTTGTCGAATTTTGTATTTATTTTTTTCATGAAAACACGACTTTTATATACAAAATTTTGATTTATAAATTTAAAGCGTCCCCCTTTTTTTAATGACGCTATAGTTACACACATTTGCATTGTATTTGAAATAGGCAAGTATTAGGTTTATTTGGAACGATCGGTTTAATATTGAACTTTGAAACGAAATGTACAAGAAAAACTTGAAGATGTACCATAGCAAGATATCTACCAGGATATTGCCTAACGCCTACAACTAAATTGAAAGTTGAAAGTGAGCTCTTTCCATTATTCAAAAATCTATCGGAATGAAATACTTCTGGATCATTCCAATAATTTTTATTATGATGAACACTATAAAAATTCAAGGTTTCGGGTTCCAAAGGATAAACCGCAGAGTTCAACTATCACAAACGTTCTAAAAAATACACACAGTTTCTTGAAACACCCGTCAAGCATAATATTTGATGTGGATCAAACGATTTTTGAATTTCGGAAGTGAGTGTCAGTTCCTGATCTAAGAATGGATTGAATTTCTATAATTACATCACGTGTAACGTTGAGAAAGCGTGATTTCTAAATTTAGAACTGTCCTATGTTTGAACGTTTATTTATATAAATGAAAATTATTAAAAGAGGTTTAAATTATTCATATAATAAAAATATATCAAATAATAGACGATTTTTCCAAGATCTTAAGCTGGCTACCGTTCGCTTTTTTGAGAAGTCAACTGTTAGAAACGTAACACATTTACATTAATATTTGCTATGTGAATATTGATTTTAATTTCGATCTCGATGTAGTGAAGTTTAAACAATAAGGTAAAGCTTGTCAATTTTTTTTTTTTTATTTTGACAGTAGAAAAATCACAATAATAACTGATAAGAGCATACGATTAAAATTTCATACTGATTGTCCCTCACCATTAATGAACCAATCAATCTCTTATTTGCAGGGATGTGTTTTATCACCTGCGCGAAACCGGTAAAGTTTCATTTGTTATTAGGACTGAATTTTTTTTGGTGGTGATAATTATTTATTCCCCCAATTCCTGTTAAATTTTTTTTGTTTTTGTTAACAGAACCGGTGAAGGTTACACCAGACTATAAATAAATTTACATGTCTTTATGTAAGTTTCACACGTATTTTGTGGATAGGCTAAAAATGGAGTGAACGTGTTGAAGAAATGATTCGCAGAATATATGAAATATTGTTTGTTTGTTTTTTACGCATGATTGATTTCTTGGCATTTGTTTATATTATTATTTATAAAGATCAACGTTCCCCCACCCCCAATAAAAGCCACTGTACGAAAATGTTTAGATCGACTTCAATTTCAAAAAAGTTTTTCCCGTCCGTCAGTTACTGCAGATATGAAAAACAATATCATCATTATTTGAAGTGCAATCTAGATGCAAACGTTTTACATCAATTATTACCAGATGATAAATAATTACTAAAAATAAAAGACTTATCAAAATCATCCAAAATCAATTGCATGGGAGTTTTTCTATCAAAGGAAAGGTTTTTCTATAAAAAAAATTGTCTTGTCAGCAATACTTTTAATTGGTTTTTCAATGAGTAGTAGTTATTACTATCAGATGAATCTTTATTTACGAAACATGCTGTAAATATTTGAAACATTTGATTGTTGTTTATTTACTTGAATATAATATAAGTTTTATTAAATTGTATTTACGTCGAAATTTAGAACTCATTTAAACTTTGATTAATATAATCAATTGGCAATAATAATTTATTGAATTATTTTCAATATAAAAAGCTGGATATCCGATACATTCGACTACGCTACGAGAAAAAATAAATTTTTTACCTATTTACAGAGATGGCTATGCATGATTTTATCGAAAAAACAAAGTGTGGTAGTATATCAACAATAGCTTGCCACCGATTCTTCAAGGCCAAGAATCGCAAAATGGGTGATGTTTTTGATCCATACCAACCCGTTTATAATTCGATTTTTCTTTTTAATATGACGGTAAGTAAATAATAATTTTGATAAAGATTTTTTTTTTTACTTAAAATTATATTTTTCCTACGCATCCAAATCTAACGCACTCTCAACTTTTCTTTTAAATACAAAATAGACACCGATCGTTAATTTTAAATTTGCGAATGTCGATTTCTCGCCTCCTCAAAGAACATTAAACCCAAAACAAATAATAAGAATCATGATTAGGAGGGCGGCCAGAAAAAAATGGGGGAATAGAATAAAAGCCATTCGAAAGGTCATACCACGCGATCGGGATGTTTTCAATGATGATAATCGAAAGCCACCTTAAAACAAAGGTGTATGATTCTAGAGTGAATTTTTTTTAATTTTATAAGATATTTTATTTCGAAAATATTTTTTTTATTAATTATTTTTATAAAGTTCGATATTTTTATTTCGAAAAATATCTTTTTTTTTTCTATTATTTATTTATAAATTCGATATTTTATTTTATTTCGAAAAAATCATTGTTTTTTTTTTTTTTGAAAGTCTGCGTGGTGGTTATATTTTCGAATGTTGAAATGTCAATGATATTTTATTCCGTATTAATGTTTTTAAAAAAAAAAAAATGTTTTTTTATTCTTAATAATTTTTGATTTATAAGGTTTATTAGTATTAACTAATTTTTTATAAGCATTGTTTTTTCTTTTTTGTTTAAGATAAAATTAAGAAATTTATTTAACATAAGCTAAATAAAGAAGATATATCGTTTATGATAGTAATAATTTTACTAAATAACAAATCGCAAAATTGTGTCGTTATGCAGTTTTTTTTTCTTTTTGATTTGGGTTAAAACAGTAAAATCATAAATAAGAATCGCTTCGTTAAATTCATTTTTCCAATCAAAGGATAACTTTTTTTGAAAATGAAGAAGTATATGTACACTTGATATATTTTAGATATACGGTATACCCAAAATATTGGTAAATAAAAAGACGAATTTTTCAATACAGCTAGATGTCCATCATTGAAACCATGAACGTGTGGCGATAATATCAATCTATACTAATAGTAATTTGTAAATATCCTACAGTAGAAACCAAACTCACCACAGCTTTGTGTTTTCGAGAAATTCTTCAAAATGAATTGTCGGCACAGTCAGCCGTTAGACACTTTTCAATCGACTCAGATGTCGACTCTGATTTTAACGCTAATGGCTGGTATTACTAGTAGCAATATTTATTTTTTTTTGTAAAAATTTTCATAAAAGCAAATCAAAAATTTAATCTTGTAAAGCCATAGTTAATAAGCATGTGAACTCATAATGGTGATTGTCACTTGTCGGGGTTCGGCTAATCACGTGATTTCTGAGAAATCACATTCATATCACGTGATCAATTTAACAATTATGGACTCTTAACAACTGTATTTATCACGTGATACATATTTTTAAAAAATATATTTATATAGGGGATACATAATAAAAGCATATATACTCTAGATACATTTAAGGATATTGTTAACATGCAATTTTGGTGGGTCGTTACAGTTAAACGAGGTATTTGAGTGTTGTTTCTTTTATAGATAGCTTAAATTCATTAGAATAATTGTAATAATAGATCCATTTTAATTAAAAGAACACTTAATTTAAAATAAAAATATGTTTATTAAGGAAAGAAAATAAAAGAAAATAGAAAAAAATAATGAACATTAGCATTGAGCTAGAGAAAATCTAACTTCCTTTTTATTCAAACATTTACAAACCATCCTATTTATATAAAACAATTTACAAATAATAACAATTTAACTATATTAGCTATATTAAATAAATTAAATATATCAAATCTATAAAAAATGTTTAACATTTTTGACATTTTTAACATTCTTGATATTTTTAATATTTATATGTAAATTAATTTGTAGATCATCTAGCAGATCAATTCTATGTAATTATTTGTGTAATTCTTCTAGTAGATCAATTTAGTGAAACATGTTGATCATTTATTTTGTCATTAAAATAAATCTATAATAATATCAAACAATTATATCGAAAAAATAAAAATAACCTTAATAATTTAAAATAAAATTTTACCAATAATTTTTTAATAATACTAAACATATAATGTATTAAATTAATAAAATTTGTTAATTATTTAATAATTATTTTTTTTATTAATATATTATGAATAAAAAATTATATTTTCTGAAAGATTAGATTAAAAGTTATGTGATAATCAAAAAATTCTCAAAATTTAATTTTTAATCTAATCTGATTTTTGCTGTATATGTTTTCATATTTACATATAGCTTTTATATATCACTTAGAATTAGTTTTAAGTAAGTTTTTAATTAATAATAATAAATTATTTAAATATTTAATTTATTATTACTATAGAATCCAGATATATATAAAATATCTCATAATTTGTCTTCATTAATAAAAAAAAAAGCAAATTCAATCAAATTTAAAAAGTTCAAAAATTGGTTTTTTACAATTAAACTAATATAATTTAGCTGGTCATTTTTTAAAAATATATTTTTAATAAACTCTATCAACAAAAAAACTTTATTCAAATTAAATAAATTAAATTATTAAATGCTGAGAAAATCACAAAATATTAAAAGAGGAAAAAAATAATTTTGAGAACTTTAAGATTATAATATTTAATTATAATATACTAATAAATTCAATAAATTATAATAAAAATATAATTTTAAATTAATAAAAATAATCATTAATATATATTATTTTAAAATATTATTTTATTTAAATATTTTTTTTAAAATTTATAATAAGTCAAATTTCTTAATTTTTTAAATTTTAAATATAAATTATTTAATTTTATTTTTAATTTAAAATAACCTTTTTTTAAAATAAAATGCAATAAAAATAAAAACTTATTTTTACTAATAAATGATTAATATTTAATTATTATATTTATTAATTTTTTTAAAAAAAATAATATTTACTAAAATTTTAGTATTGGTATTATTTAAAATATAATAGTAATATTATTATTAAATATTTTAAAAATAATATTAATTTGTCTAATTATATAATTAATTTATAATATAAATAAATTAATTAAATATAAATTATTATATTTATTATTATTTTATTTATAACTTTTTGTAATTTCTTCTTTTTATTACAAATATTCAGATAATTAATAATTATCAAACTACTTTTATAAATTAACTAATTAATTTAAAAAATTCAATTAATACAGTGAACTCTTGATATAACGAATTCTACGATCTAGATATCAACTTCGTTATAAGTTTATAATGAATTTTTTAAAGAATTTAATTGGCTACTTCACTATAGTAAGGTAATTTTAATATATTTGATTTAAAAATTCGCTATATCAAGAGTTCGCTATATCAAGGTTTGACTATATTTACATTTGATTTTAATTTATTTTAATAAGTATTAATTATTTTTATAATAATAATTTAATTAATAAAATTTTATTATTTATATATTAATTTTTCTATAATTAAAAAATATTTTAATAAATATAGTTCTTATATTAACAGATTTTTTGCCAATTATATATTTATCAATTTATAATATATAAATTAAATTAAGATGAAAATAAACAAATATTATATCAAATTACTTAATTGATATTGTTAACGTGTAATTCTTGCGAACTACAACTGTTAGACAGGGTGTTAGAGTGTTATTTCTTTTTAATGTACATAGTAATCTTAAGGTTTTTACAAGTTTATTATCACAGCTAATCAAACAAAGGTTTTGAATCAAGGTTTATATGAGTATTTCACGATCAACAATTCACAAGGTATCGAGTAATTATATTTTCAAATAAGATGTTTATTGATAAGAATAGAAATAAAAATAAAGAAAATAAAAGATATAACAAGAAGAAAGAAAAGAAAAGAAAAGAAACGAAGTATGAAACTAAAATGTAACACAATAGGCCTGTTTGCCTCTTAAAAACTACTAAAAACTGACTTGTCAAATTCTACTTTTTACATGGTCTAAAAAGCTGTCTATTTATATAAAATATAGTATATAGAAAAATATAACTAATATGTCTAATATATTGTATATGTCAAATATGTCTGATATGTCATATATATCAAATCATATTGTATTTGTCGATCATGTCAGATATATCATATATGTCAGACATATCAGAATTGTCAAATATATAAGATTTGTCAAATCTGTCAGATTTGTCGATCATCTGCATCATGTAGGTCTTATCATATTTTATTCGTTCACAATATCTCAGTTTAGACTTTTTTATATTTCTTTAAATATTTAATATTTTTTTGAAACAAATATTTAATAAAATTTTAGTTGCTTAACTATAATTATAATAAAATTATTTTTTACTTTTTTCTTATATGTATATAAAAAATTATTAAAAAAATAAATTTATATGATTTGATTAATCAAAAAAAATTGTAATTAGATCTGCAATATTATATTTTTTTTTTAAAAAAACATGATAAAGCATTCATTTATTAAGATTTATTTTTTAAATACAAAGTAAAAAAGAAAAATCACAAAACAGATATAAAGTAGAAAAAATAAAATAAATATTATTTAGCCTTCTTCAAAGGAATTTACCAATTCTAATCAAACTAATTGATTATCTCATTATATTTAAAATTAACTACTAAGTGAAGAAAAATTATACATGATAAAATAAAATAAAAACAAAAGAAATTAGTTTTTCATTACATCAAAAAGAAATTAAGAATAAATGAGTTAGCAATTAAGTTTATGTTATCATTATTATTTAAAATGAATTAAAGAATGAGTTAAAAGAGTGTTGATAATTGTTGAATTTTTTTAGTTTATTCTTCTTGATGATATTATTATAAAGTTCTATTTTATTATCACTTCACATCTGGTTTTCCAAATTAACTCAAAAGATTGATCAAAGATAAAATTATAGAAAGTAGATAAAATAACAAATGTTTTCTATTAGTTTTTAATAAAATTATTGATGATATAATAAAAGTATTTTAGAATAATACTTGTAATAATGTCAAAAAATAAGAAAGATATAAAAGAAGTAAGAGCAATAAAAACTAGTAATCATAGATAGGATTTAATATTTTTAACAAATCATCAAGATCATTTGTTATAAGAAGTGTGAATGAAGAGCTGTATTTTTAGTATTTGTAAAATATTAATATCAATAATATTAATAGTTTCAACTTTTTTTACACAAACCCAAATGTGATTAAAGGTTTATTATATATTAAATATCTGCAACTTTTCCAATTATTATTATAAAGATCAGTTATGTGATTTTAAAAAACTTGATAGTAGGCAGTTCTTTTAAGAGTAGTTAATATTCTTTTATATTTGTATAATTTATTAAATAATATTTGAAATAGTGAGTCACTATTGATCAAGTTAAAAATGCAGAACTAATTAATCAATTTGTTTTTGTAATACTGATTTCTTTGTAGATTGATGAAGTTTATAAATATTTTAGTGTATACATAATCTTTAAAGAAAGATATAATTTTTTATTAATAGAATTGAATTAAAAGATTGGAATAAATGAAAATAAAAAGTCTTTGAAATATAATTATATAGAGATGTCAATTAAAGAGGATTTTGCCAATTTATCTACTTTTTCATTAAATGAATTTCCAGAATGTGTTTTGACTTTGAATAGGTTAAGAGAAATTTGTTTTGTTCTAATAATTTAAAAATAAAGTACTAATATATAAAATGGAGATTTAAATAATAAGAATGAATAGTTTATTACATTAAAAAATTTTAATTTATTATAAAAAAGGATAAGCAAAATACTGTCTGTATTAACTATAATAACTGAACTAAATAGATAAATAAAAAGGATCATTAGAAATGCAAAGGTTTCAGTATTGGTGAAGTTAGCTAAGATAGGTGACAGAGTAATAAAGAAACTAATATTTAAAGAATCGTATACTAAAACAAAAGTGTAGCTAATATATAATTATAATAAAAAAATGAAAACTATCAGCAAAAAATTCTAAGTTTCATTAAATTAACTAAACTAATTTTGTGTTGATTAAAATAGTTAACACAAACAAAAGATAAAAATAAATTTTTAATAACTAAAATGTTTGTATTAAATGTAAATTATCATTTAGAATAAACGAAACATTAGAATTATTGAGAAATAAAATCGAATAATAGCTTAATCCATAAGAAATCAATAGATCTTTTAGTAATATATAATTCCTTTTCTTCTTATATCAAAGGTAAAGATTAGCACGTAAAGGGTCAACAAAAGTAACATACAGGAGAAGTCTTTTTAATTTTAATTTAATTTTGAATTTCTTTCTATTTTGATTCATTACATGATGATAAAATATTTAATTCTTTAAAAAAAGATTTTAGGTTATTTATATTATTTAAAAGGATATAGTTTTAAAAAAATCAAGAATATGTTAGGGAATTTAATTTGAAAACTTTTCCAAAAAATGAAAATTCTAGAATCAGAAAATTGTTATTAATGAAGTCCAAATATTTGCCTATTCTATATTTCTATTTAATAATATCAATTGATAAGATAGTTAAATTATCAAGATTAGGAGCTATAATAGAATTCAGTTTTAAGTCAATTTGTATGTATTGAATTGATAAAAACTATATTTTATAAAGCTTTTTACTAATTTGAAAAATTTGATTTATATGACTTTAGTGCTTTAATTTAAAATTTTGAAAGTTGAACAAATACTATTCTGCAGCTATAAGTTATAATAAAAATCTAATATTTTAAGGATTTTTAATAATTTCAATTAATTGATATTCTAGGATATTATATTCTAAAATAGGATTTTTTCACCTTTAACTTAAATTTTTTTTTCAATATTATGAGTATTTATAAATTAAGAGTTGAAGAGAAAATAGCTCAATAATATGTTAGAAATAATATTATCATATTGAATATGGTTAGCAAACTTTGGCTAGTATATAAGTAGATTATCATACAGCCAAAATTATTGTTAGATTTGTTTTAGTCTAATAATTATAAAAAGTCTAAGAATTGAATTATTTATTAGTGAATTGATAATATTAATGAATTTTTATATTTTGGCTTGAATTGCATTTGTATTCAAATTAATAAAGCTATATGCTAATTTACTATAAATTATTACATTAGACATACTGTTTCTAAAGTGAAACTTATACTTGAGCAAAATTCTCATTGATCAGTAAAGCAAAGCATATTTTTTTTCAGATAAGACAATAAGCTTAAAATAATAATCAAATCTAAAAAAAAGAAAAGCAATTAGGTATAGTATTCAAGATGAAAGTGATCAAAACTATATTATTAAGACATTTGAACTGCTTATCAGTTAATAGTTTGAATCTGAGTTTATCTCTGAATAATACAATTTCATTAGTAATTTAATATATAATAGAGTTTTGTTATATAATATTCAGCTGAGATCTAAACTTTTAAATAATGTATAAAATTTGTTAGTGATATTATTAAGCAAGAAATATTTGTATCATTATTTGTAGTATTAGGGTTAATAATATTGTTATTAGTTTGTGAAATATTAGGATTATTATTTTGGAAGGATAGAGATTTATCTTAAACATCATGCAATTATTATATAATAGGAATTTATATTTAGGATCTGAAGCTTATTTATGCTTATTATTAATATTATATATAAATTCTAATTAATTTAATTTGAAGCTAATTTTTCTTCATTCTGCAAATATTTAATAATTATTGAAGTAATTTCATCACAAATTTTAAAAAGATAGTTTCAATAGTATTTAGTCTTTCTTAAATAAGTTTAGATACATTAATTAAATTTAAAGATATAATAAAAGATTTTCTGCTTTAGTATTATTAATATTATTAAAGTATTAGATATGATATATTATTCGCATATTTAAAATTAGAAAATTATAAAGTAGTTGATATAGTTCTAGTTTAAAATGATTATATAGTAATTTATATTGGTTGGCTGGTTTGCAATTGATGCATTTTTTGAATTTATATTATGAGACATCATAACTTTTACAGTATTTAGTTTATAGTTTTATCTAAAACAAGATTTTGCCTTTGAATTTTTATGATTGTACTATTATAGCATCTAAATCTTCAAAATTCACAAAATTAATAAATGCATAAGGTCTAAATCAGTATTGCTAATCACATAAAATGAAACATATTTTTGTTTTAATATAAATAAAAAAATCTTATATTTGTTGTTAGCTTATATTGAGTGATAAGCCAGTAAGTTTTAATTTAAATTATTATCAAAATAAGGTTTATAAAGAGTTTAAATCAGTTGGATTTGCTTTAAAATTAAATTCAAGAAATTGAATAGATCAGACGTAAATAATAAAAGCGATCTATCTGACTCATAAATAATTATTAAAAATTTATTTATTTTGTCATATTGGAAGAAATAATTTTGTATAATATCTATCTAATTTAATGAATAAAAAAATATCAGAGATTTTTAGGATTCTTTTCTTTTTAGTATCCTATTTAAATTTTTTCTACAAGATCTACTTTATGAAAATCAGATTGTATTATATATTTTGTACTTTGATCATAGTAGTTATAAAATTTTCTTAATTTGAAAATATAGATAAAGCCTTAATATTTATTAAAATATATAAATATATTTTCCAGTAATAGTTTTATCTTTTATATAGAACACATTATTTGTCTTGTAAAAATATGTAAGAGTAATAATAATATTAAATGTTACTCTTGTTTTTCTTGATTATATGATTTTTCATTTGTTCTGTTTTATTAGACTATTTTTTTTATTTATTAACTTTTAAAAGAAACTAGTATCTTCAAAGAGTTTATTATCATTATTATTAGTATATATAGAGTCATTGGTAATCTATTTTAGGATAAAAAAAGTTGGTTAATAATTGAGTCACAAGTTATGTTAACTTCTATATTAGTAGTTTATAATAATATTGTTTGATAATATTAGTGTTATAGTTAGAGGTATATCAGTTCTTAAAATTATATTTTCTATAATATTATGAATAGTATTATTTTTTGTTTGTTTATTTGGGAGTGAAGAGATTTTCTTTTTTTTGGAAAAGAAATCAGTTTGTTAGTTTCAACGATCTTTGAAGAGAAACCAAATACTTTACTTTTATTAGTAGAATTAGTTTATTTATTTTTTTTAATATATTTATTGGTTTTGTTTCTTAGTTATAATTGCTTGAATAACTGATATTATTTTATCTTTATCAATCTTTTTTATTAGATTTTGTAGTTATTAATCTGCAATATTATAATTTTATTTCAAAAAAATCATTTTAATTTTAAATATTATTATATATTAAAATAAATTATATATATTAGTTTTATTTATTAAATATTAAATATTATATTATTTAATTAATATTCTATTGAAAACTCTTATAGTTTAGTTATTAATATATAATAGCTAAAGTATTAAAAATCAAATAACTTTATGTATTATACCAATAGAATTTTATTAAATTATTCCTATTAACTGCTTCTTATATTAAATATTTTAATTAACAATCTTCAATTTTTTATTACAACTATTTGACATAATTAAGATAAAGAAATTATAAAATTAAAAGATGCTAATAATTCAAAACTATTTTATTACTTTCTATTATTTAAAAAGAAATTTCCAATAGGTATTATTTCATCAAATTTTGTAATACTAAAAATTATTAATATTAAAATAAATTTATAATTTTTTTATGATTAATTAATTTTGATTGGATATTACATTATTTTTGATTAACCAATAAGAGGATTTTAACTAACAAACAAAATAAATCCAATATTTTGTTTTTGTAAATGAGATTCCCTTCTATATTGATTTTAATTTAACAAACATTCTATAAATGCTAATCTAATATCTTCTTGGGTTAGATTTGGATATTCTGTATAACTTTATTTTATGACTCTCATTTTTTCAAAAACTCTCACACATATTGAAGTTGTTAGATCTTCTGTTGTACAATTATATTATCATAATTTCATAATTTGGAGAATTTATTTCACAAATCATTGTTTATTATTCAAATATTACGCAAAAAAATGCTGGTTATGACGCGTTATTACGCGTTGTAATTTTATATAAGATCGATTCAAGGGTTCTAATGATCTGATCTGATGAAATTTATACTCTCAGACCTTATCTATATTTTAAAATCTTTTTCCAACTTTATGACTTCTATGATTTTCAAAACCGGAGGAGATAGTGTTCTAAAAAAAAAGCTGAAAAGGATAAAGCCATCGAATTGTAGAAAAGATGGAACTTTTCGAAAAATGAATCAAGAGATAATGGTTCTAAAAAAGTTGAAAAGGTTGAAGCTATCGAAATGAACCAGAGGATATGAAAGTGATGTCGAAAAGGTTGACTCTCCAATTTTAAAGAGTAATGGTCTTATCCTATACTTCTTAACCGATGACTTAGATAATCAACCGATATGTAAATTTTTGGCCAACCAAAAAGAAAATAGCTATGATCATTTTGGGACATAGGGATATTGTAGGGCTGGATAATTAATATAAATGCTTGGGACAGGTCTTAGAATTCTATAAAAAATATGGAAGTTACAAGAAAATTTGACTTACTCCTGGATTATATTCTAGCTTAGTTCTGATTTTTTCCTTTAATTATAAAGACGATATAAAGAATTCACGTCCGCAATAATGAAATGGTTGAGCTATTTATCAGATATATCAGATAATGACATATCGCAAAATATTCAAGAATGGTGTATGGTCTGCTTGATGTCATTCAGATTCCCTCATTCAAAACAAAGCGATAAACAACAATAAAGACTTTTAGAATTACATGAATTATCAGCAAAATGGATTTTTGAACCGTGAAGATTATACCAATCAATCAGCATGCTCTGATGTTACCGGGTGAAGGGACGGACTGGTTTTTGTGTGGTCTGAAAAGTTTGTCAAAAATGGTGTTCACATTCTTTTATAATACTATATATACGAGATGCCTAACGATGTTCATTAGTAATAGACGTAGCTATTGTCTTATAACTAGGCCTTTTCTTTAATAAAATAAAATAAAAACTTAAATAAAAAAGTATGAATTTTTAAGAAATAAACCACGCGAATTCTTATAATTAAATTGTATTACCTTTGCCATTTGTGTCATGGATCAAATAGTCTTTATAACATTTACCCAAAACGCCTAAATCTATCTATATTTGTTCACATCCTTTCTCATGAAATTTTACCTCTTTATTCTTAAATCTCAACCAATCCATCAGCGACAATAACTTTACCAAATCAAATAAATATCTTTCACTTACATCCATCAGTTCGCTTTTTCTTTTCGCTATTAGGAGCAAAAGGGGTAATTTGCTAAGTGAATGCTCTCTTCTGTTGACAACGAGCAATTAAACATTCTGTCTACTTTTTTTTCAGTAACTATAACTTGGGTAAGAATGCAAGGCAGAAAAAAGTGAAGAAACAAAATAAGAAATAGATCTCCTGTTTCTGTTGTTCCATATACATTTATGATTTTGGTGAAAACGGCTACGGTCAAGGTTTTTAAATGTCAGAAAGCATTTCGAAATGATTGTATCGTAATTCTATGATTAATAGATGATAGTTGACACAATCATTATTAATTAGAAGTAAATCAATAAATATCAAGACAAATAAAAAAAAAATTCTACCAGGTAATGGATGAATATTGCGTCTTCATTTTAAGCCATCCAAGTAGTCAATCTCTGGAAATGCCACTGCTGTAACAATTAATTTGAATTACGTGGAGGTGTACTTCTCGGAACTGGAATTTGGGTTTCGTCGGTCTATACCAACGAAGCTACCCACGCGGCTGATGGACAGAGGCTATTACAAGGAATCAGATTCAGTACTGAGACATACTGGGGTAAAAACAAGATGATAAGAAACTAAACACCATTAGAAAATTAATAAGTCCATCAGATAGAATTACAAACTAAATATCACGCTAAATTGATCATAAGCAAATTCCATTTAACATTGTAAATTTCTTGATGGGGCACGTATTTATCCCTTATGATCACATTTTTTATGCGATCGTAATTATTTTTCAACTCTTGGGAGCATAATTGATTGCAAAAATTGCAAAAATTCCTGCTGAAAGTAAATGGAATAATTCCATGTCGTTCCTCTTAACAGGCAATGCTTCGGAAAATTGACCAGCTCCTTGTTGTAAAATCAAACTAATACGCTAAAGGGCAAATCGCTTGCCCAGAGATTTCCAATTTTTTTGGTCCAAGCGAACTTTATTGTCGGGTTGTATTACATTGTATTTGATTTTTTGTTCGAAAAGTTCTTGATCTTGACTCTCATAATGCATTAATAGTCTTTGTACCAGGTACCTGGAAAACTTACTTTCTTTTTTTTATTAAAGATTTGACATACGTCCCTATTGATGAAAGTTGATCCCAACCTTATTGGAAGAATATACACCAAAGGATGGCTTTGAAAACAATAGACAGCTCAATTCAATTGCAAGAGCATTATTGCTTGATGCAAGATTTGTTATACACCGAGATATCCAATGATCTTGTCATGTCTGGAGCATTTAGATTTTCTTAGATATATGTACTATATGAACGAAAAAAAGATATTAATACTAGTACAGTAACAAAACGTGGCAGGAAAAAACAAGTTCCACTTGAACCTTTGACAGATACTAATTCTACTGTGTCTAAAGATAATTGCAAGAAAAAAGAAGAGCTGCCTATTCAGCTAATAATTGACAAGATATTGAAAGGTACTAAACACAGTTATAAGAAAAAAGAAGAAATTAATTACATGTAGTACAGCAACCAATCGATCCGTTGGATAAGCGGATCTACATAATATTATCTTCAGGATAATTATAATAAATCAATTGAATCTATTAATCAATTATAAATCAGCCAGTTAATATTTTCAACAATCCATTTCCCATGCTAAGCATTGAAGAATCCTCCAAGACCTCGAACTCGTACTATAAATTGGAAAGCATTTTCCAAACCTTAGCTTTTCTTTCATCACGATCATCTTGTTGATGAATTCCGTGAAACTTGATTAATTTAATACATCGTTCAGATAATGCACCTACAAAGGCAAAGGATTTATTAAAAGGAGAAATCACTTCTCGACAGATGTATTGAATGATTATCCACGGCAAGACCCACGATTTAAAGGAATAGATAGAAGTATTATTAAAGAAGTTATCGAGGCAGAAGAATTGAAGTATCTTCTAAATCTCCCGCATTTGACCCTCTTAAATGTAATTTCTATAATTTAATATTATATCTTTTTCAGAAGTAATTACAAAGAATTGTCAGAGTTGAAAGAGTTCGACAAGAGAAAAACGTTTGAAGGTTCTGTCACAACAATTTGATACACTTCTTTAAACATCCTTATGCAAAGCCATTTTGATAATGATTCGCGAAGTTCAGAAACCATGATAGAAGTATCCTTAACAATAAGTGACACTAGATCATGTATTTACAATTGATCAAATTTATTAAAATACAACTTGCAAAATAATAATTGTAATAAAATAAAATATGAGAACCAACCATGTTTTCCATCGATACAACTCGACGCGACACGAGCTAATCATCTATGCCTCTCTCAAATGACGTACGTTAAACACAATACCCAAGCGCTTTGTGAAGTTTTGTCAATCTAACACAAATCCAAATTCAGATGCAAATTTAAAGTTTCTAGATTTCCAGTTTTATAGATTTTGATGCAGAATTAGATTATACAAAGATTTTTAAATGACTTTTCAAAAGCTGATACAACATCTAATATGAGGCTATTGAGTTGCACGAGAGACTACAATAAATGTGATCCGATCAAGGGACGATGTAATCTTTTTTAATAAACCAATTTTCGTATTTTCAGCTCTAGATCCTATAGTTGAATCTGATTTTATCATCAAAAGATTCAATAATTTTGTACGATCTATATATTTATTAGTCCGGAGCGAAAGCGAAGGACTACATATTTCTATGCACGAAGGCAAAGGATGTCCCGTTGTCAGCCGTCAAAAATTGAGTCGATACATGATTGATCTCTTTCGTTACACTTGTGCTCCGACCTTAACAACGGTTTTCGAAACCGTTTCCTAGTTTATCTATTGAATTCTTTGTATAGAATTCTGCTGTTTTCCATTGGTTGCTATGAAAAGAA